TGTAACACATAGTTTCAAATGCTCAAGATTTGTTTCGTCGTCGGCGAGTTTGAACACTTGAGCAAGTTGTTGAAGTTGATCGCCTATATTGGGTACCGAGGTAGTAGCTGACAGCGTACTTTTGATCTTTTCGTACTCTGAACGAAGTTTTTCGAGACGATCGCGTTCAATCGTATTCTCGTTGTTAGTGACCTTGAGAAAGGTCAACACTGATTCATGATCAGAAGTCATAGGAAATGTATCTGCAATATAAATAAGTAGTTAAACAATCAGCTTAAATTATTTGACAGAGGGTGTGGGTGAGGGTGTGAGGGTAGATGAAATTTTTTCATGGTTGGAATTGATAGAGCTCTTCGAGTCATATCTGGAACAAGTATTGGAAGTGAAGAAACGAATCCGTTCCAGGAAAAGTCGAATCTGTGTCCAAGATATCCTACATCAAAAGTGATTGATGGAGGTCTGTTTGTCAAAACTCTGCCATCCTTTCTTCATCTACTTACTGTGAATGCTGCGATCGATGTAGAACAGAAGCAATGGTATAGGATAAAAACAACGTTAACGCACATTCGGTGAGAATAGAACGACAATGTTTTAGCGTTTCTTTTTCTCCCTTTCCCCACAATGGGTTATTATTTTTCTCGTTCTTTCCCACATGATGCGTACTGATTCACGAGCAAAGAGTCCAGAGTATTTCACATCGAAGAACATGATTTGTTCGTATTTCACTTCTTTCAGCGTACACGTTGACGAGTAACGAAAAACATAGCTTTTTTCGCGAATTAAAACCTATGTTTTCATTACATCCTTTCTAAATAGACCATTATTTATCGCTGTTTCATTTCAATACCGAATGTAGGTCAGTAGATATGATTATTACAAACACATCTTGACTGTGGTGTATTATTTCAATGCAATATTGTGTTTCAGCTGACATTAAGGCGAACATTGCAAGTAAGACATGATAGTTTTATCATTCCACGGTTGTCATACACCAGTTGAATGAGCTTAGAATAATAAAGACTTGTTGGAAGAGCTACTGAAACAGCTGGATGCGAAAACAATTCTTCAACTGGAATATGTTCGGTAGGATACGGTCCGTTTTGTTTGATCTGGGAGCGTCTATATTTAATCGAAAAATATTATTTTTAACCATTTTTCTTTGTAGATTGTGACATAGACGTTGATAGATGTAATGGCAAGTAATTATAATCCGGAATGGGAAGAACGAATAAAGCGCGCACAGGATTTATTACGTAGACGTGAACTCGAATTGAGTCGACTAAACGAAACAGAGCAAAAGATTATCAGACAAGAGTTAACTAAATTTAAGCAGTTGGAATCTGACCTTCAAACTTTAAATCCACAAGATCAAGAGCAGGTAAATGATCTTGAAAGAGAAGTTCGAGAAACGCAAAAGGAGATGAACGATGTCGAACAAGAACTCGAGCAACTACAAGAACAACTGGACGAACTTCTTGCTCAATTAGAAATAATCGAAAGAGATCTTAAACAAGTGACAGACGAACTGATCGAACTTACCGAAAAACTTAAACGTGTTCAAGAAGAATTAGAAAAACTTCGTCAGCAGGAACAGGAGCTTATCAAGAATTATGACAAATGGCAAGAAGTGCTTGCTGAACAACAAGAAATGTTCAATGAAGAAGAAAAGAAATTGAACGATCTTCAGCAACAACTCATTATTTTGGAAAATGATCAACGATTGTTAGAACAACGAAGAGATGAACTCATTGAGATATTGAGAAAAGCTGAAGAAGAATGTGTGGCTTTAGAACGAGAACTAGCGAAGATTGATGCTGAACGAGTTCAACTAGAACAAGAAAGAGAAGCCTTAGAAGTACAGCTGACTGAACTCCAACGAGTCGTGCAGGAATTGACTGAAAAAATACGTAAAACTCAACAAGAATTAGCTCAACATGAACAAGAATTGAAGGAGCAAAATGAGCGTAGCCAACAGCTGGAACAAGCTATTCAACGAATCGAAAATGAAATACAACGTTTAGAAGAATCAATTCAACGTCTTGAAGAGATGATGAAAGAGGTAAATCTGAAAAGTAAAACATGAAATCGCGTATTCTTTTATTTAGATCGAAAATAGAGAACGCGAAGCGATCAAACAAATTGAACAGAAAAATCAAGAAAAACAAGCAGCTGAAGAATTGTTTTCGCATCCAGCTGTTTCAGTACCTCTTCCAACAAGTCTTTACTATTCTAAGCTCATTCAACTGGTGTATGACAACCATGGAATGATAAAACTGTCATGTGTTACTAGCAATGTTCGCCTTAATGTAAGCTGAAACACAATATTGCATTGAAATGAAACAGGGATAAATAATGGTCTATTTAGAAGAGATGTAATGAAAACATAGTTTTCAATGCGCGAACAACGTTATGTTTTTCGTTACTCGTCAACGTGTACGCTGAAAGAAGTGAAATACGAACAAATCATATGCTCTTCGATGCAAAGTACTCTAGATTCTTTGCTCGTGAATCAGTGCGCTTCATGTGGGAAAGAACGAGAAAAATAATAACCCATTGTGGGGAAAGGGAGAAAAAGAAACACTAAAACATTGTTGTTCTATTTTCACCGAATGTGCGTTAACGTTGTTTTTGTCCTATACCATTGCTTCTGTTCTACATCGATCGCAGTGTTCACAGTAAGTAGATGAAGAAAGGATGGCAGAATTTTGACAAACAGACTTCCATCAATCACTTTTGATGTAGGATATCCTGGACACAGATTCGACCTTTCCTGGAACGGGTTCGCACATGAGTGTGTTCCAACACTGATCACACTCGTTCCAAGTAGAACTCGGTGAGCTCTATCTATTCCAAAGAAAAATTCTCGGAAATATCCTCTCATGTCCATAAAAAAATGCAAAAAATATCCTCAAAAATCATGAAAATTTAAAAACAAACAAGCACGGATTCGTTTCTCCACTTTCAATACTTGTTCCAGATACGACTCGAAGAGCTGTATCGATTCCAACCATGAAAAAATTTCATCTACCCTCACACCCTTACCCTCTATCAAATAATTTAAGCTGATTGTTTAACTACTTATTTATATTGTAGATACATTTCTTATGACTTCCGATCATGAATCAGTGTTTACCTTTCTCAAGGTCACTAACAATGAGAATACGATTGAACGTGATCGTCTCGAAAAACTTCGTTCAGAGTACGAAAAGATCAAAAGTACGCTGTCAGCTACTACCTCGGTACCCAATATACACGATCAACTTCAACAACTTGCTCAAGTGTTCAAACTCGCCGACGACGAAACAAATCTTGAGCATTTGAAACTATGTGTTACG